TAGCCCTAAAACACAAGACTCATCACTTACCCACACCAGGGTTGAGCCATAACCCTAGCTTATGGGTTTAGCTACTCATAATTAAAGAAGAAAAGCAAGAAATAGATGACAAAAAACTCATATTAATTAATTACTAAGATAAACAAGAAGATTCAATGTTGAAATGTAGATAAAATTGCCCTAATAGCTAAAATATTCGAACCCACGAGCGCAGATCTCAACTAAAACTATCTGATGATCTAAAAATGGGAAAAGAAGCTATTTGTACTAAGCTGAAAAATTTGGACAAAAATACCCATGCGAGGCTAGTGCGGACCGCACAAAATGGTGTGCGGCCGCAATAAGGCTCTGAACTTGAAAATTTATGTCTCTGAACTCTGGCAATACGAACCGCACATAATGGAGTGCGTTCGCAGAGGTTTCTGGTGCGGTCCGCATGAAATGGAGCGCGGACCGCATTGGCTTGAAACTTGGAATTAACAACTCTCTAATCTTTCTCACTGCGTACCGCACTAAATCGAATGCAGCCGTGTTGATCCCAGTGTTGACCGCACAAAACCTAGTGCGACCGTATTGACTGTTTGCCTGAATGTCATGCTCTCTGAACCTCATTCATGCGGACCGCACAGAATGGTGTGCGGCCGCATTGAGCCTGTTTGCCTGAGCTTTATCTTGTCTTGGTACTTATGCAAGTTTCACTCCTTTTGGAGCTGATCTTTGACATCTTGTCACTTTGTTGATCAAACCTGCAATCAAGCACAACTTGTGAGCCTTTTGGGACTATTTAGTATAAATTCCTAATCAAAACATAAGCAAGAAGGAGTATAAAATGCATCAAAACCCCCTAGTTATCACTATAGATTTGTAATATTGTCATCTTTTGATCTACCGTTGTTATCCATGTACCACATCTTACTCAAAATGCTTCATTAACTCTTTTCTTATTTCTCGCTAACATTTATGTCTATCACTTTATTCTGAAAACTCGAACAAGGCATTTTTTTGCTTTTTTGCTTCCCTTTGCTCCATCCAGCGGCTCTTTAAGTTGCTTAACGTTATCGCTTTACTGGGGACGCGAGCTACACTAAGGTAATATGTATCCCTTCAAGGCTTATAGTACATGTCTTTGTAGTACTCATATCTGGCTGCACTATTTTAAAGTGTACCATCTAGGTGTCTCACAAGGAGATCTATTAGCATATTTACAATATCCTTCGGAAATGTCAACTGACACAAACAATTCATCCATCACATCTTCTTATACTACTTCTATTAACCCTCACAGGGCATATCTGGAATGGGTGCGACCAATTGTATATACCTCTGTTACTATTGAATATAACTCAAAAAGCTTATGTTCATGTGCCTGAATTATAAACATTGTTAACCTTTGTTAACTGGGCGCTTCGTACCCTTCTTTATCTTGCTTCTTTTACTTGTTGAAACTTATATTTATCTTCTTAATTTCTCATTTTATTTCACCATAAAGGTGGATAGGCATTCTTGCCTTAAGGCTTCTTATCAAAAGGCTTACACCTTTTAGTATGCACATGATCTGCTGAAGACCTCACATTTACTTATCATAAGCATGATACAAAGTCGAGTTCCTCTAATTCAACACTTCCACAGGTATATCTCTTATCGATCATTTTTCTGAACGTAGGCATCGTCTTATTACAAATAAAAATAGAAGTTCGGGACTTGAATTCTTATAAGTGAGCTCTACCACACGATCTAGAGTAAGAAGAAAGAGTGACAGTCTTAAATGCCATGTAGCCTCTTGCTTATAAGTGTGGTGCATGACACACCCATAAACAAGACTATACTAGACACGGCTTGTAGACTCCCTAGGACAAAACTACTCTGATACCACTTTTTAACGACACAAACCGATGGGCCGCGACATGCACCCGGTACCTTACTTAACCGAGTACCAATGTAACGCATCTTTCTTATTACATCATCATATACACGTGACATACGGGCCTAATAGGCCAACATGATCATTTATAAATTTAAAACCTAGGCCGTACAATCTTTTACGTACACGACATATGTCTACAAGCCTCTAAGAGTACATAAATATCATAAAGATCGGGATAAAGTCTCGCCGTTCCAAACAATACATGTCTAAATCATACTAACCAAACACGCAACACCGAAGCAAATGGAGCGCACCAACATCTTCCGCTGAGCTGATAACCTACTTAAAGGGCTCTCGACCTGTCTATCTAGACCTGCGGGCATGAAACGCAGCGTCCCCAGGCAAAAGGGACGTCAGTACGAAATAATGTACCGAGTATGTAAGGCAATATACTAAAGGTTGAAACTGAACTGATAATATAATAATTGAATGTAACTAAGAGTCAACAATAATCTGAAGATATTCTTACCTGCTGATAATGACTCAGCTCTCTCAATATAGTAAGTAAAATAACTATCCGGCCCTATAAGGCTTGGTATACATATATATGTGCTCTGTCGTAGTAGGCTCGCTCATAAGCACTCGGCCATACTAGGCTCTGTATCTCGACCAACTGGGTCCGTTCATAAGCACTCAGCCACAGTAGGCTCGGTATATATATAACTGCCCTGTCGTAGTAGGCTCGCTCATATGTGCTCGACCATACTAGGCTCTATATCTCGACCAATTGGGCTCGCTCATAAGCGCTCGGCCATAATAGGCTCGGTATATAACTTACCATCTGATCAGAGGTTGCCCAATAGGGGCCTGCCCATCGATTATAGCTTGATGATAATGAAAATATTGTAATACTGTATATATAGACTCTCTGCTCTCTTGACTGGAAGAAAGAAATACTCAATTGAATATAAAATCCTGATAATGAGAATATTGTAACTTAGAAGGCTAGAAAAATATACGTAACTTGCGAGACTAGCAAAATATACGTAAATTCCGGGATATAAATTTTTCTTTATGACTCGTTATCAAACTTGTGTAACAACGAGATCATGCCAAAATAAAGGAAGAGCTTAGCCTTAATACCTGTTCCTTAAATTATTTGATCGAAATGAAGTTTCTGCTTCCGTGAAATATGTTGGAACGAGAAAACGAAGCTTCTGCTTCTGAAATTGGAACGAAACTTTGCTTGAATTTTGTTGGAGTTGGACGAATTTGCTTCAATTGTAGCCTTTGTCTTCGAATTGGAATATTTCTGCCTCAACACTTCTTTGAACGAATTTCCTTAGAATCAAGACTTTTAATTCTTTAACCTTTCCAATTAAGACCAAAAGCTCCCCAACGTTATTTTGGTTTCAAGTCTTAAGAGGAAAATGTTTATGCTTTTCTCAAGTTTGGTAACCAAAAACAGAATGGAACATTTTGGCTAAAGATAAGAGTTTTGGATGAGCTTGTATAAGTCTTTCTAAGACTTTAAGTTATTATTATGTAGCCACCTAGCAATGTGACTACTTAGTCGCTTTCTAGGCTTTGTGGCTTCTTGCCACATGTAGGGGGTTAGTTTATTAATTATTTTTTTATCCACTTATTAGTTAATCGGGTAATGTTATGTTACCCAGTAATTAATCAATTACCCGCATAATTTAAAAATTACACAAATTACTTAAAATTCTATTTATTTTAAAAATACTTCATATATACGTTATATATTATACTATCGTGGTCATATGGTACCTTGCATGGTACTAGTTTATAATTATCAGGTATTAACGCTCGGCCCGTATTTTATCCCAAATCGACAACCTTCAACGAAACTCATTTTCTTAATTCGTGTACCCTTTCCTTCATGGTACTTAGTTATTGCTTGTTATAAATTGCATAAATGTGCTAATCTCCAGATAATCTCATCCCAGAGTCTACGTCAATTAACTGAAGACGAAATTTTAGCGTAGGAAAAACGCGAGATGTAACACCTCCGGCATATTCACCTACCTTTACAAACTCCATTTTATTGTTCATATTTTATCTCTTTAATCTCCTCAATTTGATAGAAACATAAGTTAACTTAAGCAATTGAGTCATGGATTTAGGTTGGAATAATTTTAATACTTGATTGGAGAGCTTGATATTCGCCAATACCATTTTTCGTACAAAGAATTTTCTCTCCTTTTCTTTTCGATATGGGTGTGTGGGTTTTTTTTTGTGAGTATGTGAAGGAAAAATGGTCAAATTAGAGGTGTTAAAGTGGAGTGGTAGGGGAGGTGGTTCTAATTTTTCAGAGCTAGAATTTATGGGTTTAAGGGAGGTTATGGTTGTGACTGCCTTCCATAGTGGCGAGCTGCGAAAATAATGTTGAAGGAAGGCGGAGAAGATGAAATGAAAAAAGAGTGAAAAAAGGAAAGAAAAAGTATTTTAAAAATGAAATAGTGCAGTATTTGATACATGACGCATGTTAACACAACTCACCACAAGACTGGTTCGGTATTTTGAAAGAGGTATTAAATTTAGTTTAGATAAGAATAGTGGGTTGTTAAGACCCCGTAAAGTTAAGATGTGTAAATATTTTTTCAGAACAAATTTAATGGGGTCTTTATGCATTTTCTCCAATTTAAAACTCAAAGTATAGATCACAAATATTAAAGACCAATTAACATTCTATTAGCACAATTCCACAACTACAATAAACGTTCCTCTTTTTGCTTGCATTGTCTCATTTTAAACTCTTCCCATGTTCAGAACTAAACTTCAAAAACTCTGCTACCCAAGTTCCATTGAATTTCCCACTGAAACAACTTCCCACTACCTTCACCATCGAATCAATACATTCCTCTCCAATAAAACCTCAGACCTCAAAACGCTTCATCAATCCCACGCTTTCATTATCACAACAGGACACACAAACAACGTTTACATAGCAGCAAAGCTTATTTCTTTATACGCTTCTAACAAACACCACCTCATTTCTTCGAAAAAAGTGTTTGATTTAATTAGTGTTAAAGACCCTTTTCTTTGGAATTCAATTATAAAAGCTTATTTCTCCAATGGGTATTATTCAGAAGCGATTGAGCTGTACTCCAATATGCGGGGTTTTAATGCTTTGCCTAACCAGTTTACGATTCCCATTGTTGTTTCTGCTTGTGCTGAGCTTGGATTGATTTCTTATGGCAAAAGGATTCATGGGTTAGTCTCAAAATTGAATCTTTTTCACGGTAATAATGCTGCTGTTGGATCATCTTTGGTTTATATGTACTCGAAATGCGGGTTTATGGAGCATGCTGCTGATGTGTTTGATGAAATTACTGTGAGAGATGTGGTTTCTTGGACTGCAATTGTAAAAGGGTATGTGGAAAATGGGGAGAGTGAGAAGGGGTTGGAGTATCTTTGTTTGATGCATAAGAATGGTGAGAGTGAGGTGAGGCCGAATTTTCGGACGTTGGAGGGAGGATTTCAAGCTTGTGGAAATTTAGGTGCATTGGTAGAAGGGAAATGCTTGCATGGGCTGACAGTTAAGTCTGGTTTTTGTAGTCATCAAGTTGTTCAGTGTTCTGTTCTGTCAATGTACTCGAAATGTGGGTCGGTTGAAGAAACATATTGTTCGTTTTGTGAGGTTGATGAGAAGGACTTGTTTTCCTGGACATCGATAATTGCTAATTATGCAAAGTTTGAGTGTATAGGTGAGTGCATTAATATTTTTCTGAAAATGCAGGCCAGTGGGATAATTCCAGATGGGATGGTAATTAGTTGTGTGCTTTCTGGTCTAGGTAATGCCTTGAGGACTTTTGAAGCTAAGGCTTTCCATGGATTCATCTTGAGAAGAAACTATGTTGACGATCACATGGTCTGTAATGCATTATTGGCCATGTATTGTAAGCTTAGACTCTTGAATTTGGCAGAGAAGATACTTGATGGAGGAATTGGACAAACCACAGAAGCCTGGAATATGATGGTTGTTGGCTATTTCAAGGCTGGGTTAGAAGGCAAGTGCATTAATTTATTCAGAGAAATGCAACACTTGGGAATTGAATGTGATGTCAACAGCTTGATATCTGTAATTTCTTCTTGCTCCCGGTTGGAAGAATTCCATTTAGGCCTGTCTGTGCATTGCCATGTAATTAAAAATCTGATGCTTGAAAATATTTCCGTTGCCAATTCTCTAATAGATATGTATGGAAGAAGCAAGAATCTGACTTTATCATGGAGAGTCTTTTGTACTATGGCTGATAAGGATGTTGTCACTTGGAATACAATGATGACTTCCTATATTAGTTGTGGAAAAATTACAGAGGCCTTCGGCCTTTTTGATAAAATGATTGCAGAAAGCTACAAGCCTACTATTGCAACGCTGCTGATTTTGCTCTCTGCTTGTTCTCAAGTTTCGTCCTTGGATAAAGGAGAGAAAGTTCATGAATACATCAAGGAAGTTGGGTTTGAAAAGAATACTTTGCTTGCTACTGCTTTGACTGATATGTACGCGAAATGCGGACAGCTAACAAGATCCAGAGAAATATTTGATTCAATGGATAAGAAAGATGTCATCTCTTGGAACGTACTGATCTCAGGCTATGCTATGTATGGAGAAGCAAAATCTGGTATAGAATTTTTCAAACAGATGGAACAGTCAGAAAATAAGCCAAATGAACTGACTTTTCTTGCTGTTCTCTCAGCTTGCGCTCATGCAGGGTTGGTCGAAGAAGGAAAGTCCATATTTAGCAGAATGAAAGATTATTCTTTGATGCCAACCCTGAAGCACTACGCTTGTATGGCTGATCTTTTAGGTCGTTCTGGTAATTTGGATGATGCTGAAGCTTTGGTTTTGTCCATGCCAATTGCTCCTGATTCAGCTATCTGGGGTTCTTTACTAAGTTCTTGTAAAATTCACTCTCAGGTTGAGAAGGGTATAAGAATTGCAAAACATGCTATTGAATCTGATCCAGAAAATGATGGGTACTATGTAGCAATTTCTGACCTATATAGTTCTGTAGGAAAGTGGGAAGAGGTTGAAATGGTGAGGAAAATAATGAAGCAACGAAAAGTGAGGAAAGAAGTTGGCTGGAGTACAGTATAAATTTCACAGCTATTTGTTGGAGTCTTTAGCAACTCAAGTCATGGTAGCATCAATGTATTGAAGATTTGGCGCTACTAAGGTTTTATACTTGCAAGAGTTGTTCGATAAACACCATGATTTCTGCTGTATAGTTTGCTTTCACGTGGTGGAAAACAATGGCTAATTGGTGGTAGCGTTGAGATGGATTTCAGGTGATGTCCAGGTAACGAGCCCTATATTTCAGTGGGCTGAGCGAGAAGGATGCATCCATTGATCATGCCTCTTGTTCTTTGGCTGATGATAGTAATTTGATTTTGGGCTTGTAGGATGAACAAGTTGCAGTTTCTTTTATCCTTTGAAGTTCACTCCTTCGACAATGTATCTATGTACGAGAAAGGGGAAACTTTTATGTTCTCCATGTTCATTTTGGTACATTGGAGCAGCAACAAATGAAATATGGCTGTACACTTGATTAATGTCTACAGCTACTGCATTTCTGGACCGGCCCTAGATTTGGAACTTTGAGTGCATCGCTGAAGTTTCGGAGCTTGGATATATATTAGGAGGTACATAAATGTTTGGCCATTGAGGCTACCAAGTCAATTCTTTCCATGGATTATGAAAATGTGAATCTCTTGAGGGCACAGCCTTGAGGTAGGCAAGAAATGTCTCTAAAGGGCAACCCGGTGCACTAAGCTCCCATTATGCGCGGGGTCCGGGAAAAGGGCAGACCACAAGGGTGTATTGTACGCAGTCTTATCCTGCATTTCTGCAAGAGCCAAGAAAAGCCTCTAACGCGAGAAATTATCTACTAAATTTTATGTGATGGCGTCGCTGGTGTAAGACCCACCATGAATGGCGGAGCTTGTGGTCTCTAGATGGAGCTTGCATACGATAAGGTGGTGTGAGGAGACAAAGAACACCAAAGTTATTTCTCTCCATCAGCCAAGCATTGGCAGACAAAGCTAGCTAATACCTCTGCTGTAGAGAGGTAGCAAGTACCGATAAAATAACTGAGGCATGTCAAGTTACTTGATAAAATAGTCTAAGGCGTGCGAAAGTTAATCTAAAATGCACCATAATTTCTCAGGTGTTAGGACTAGAATGTACTATTAAACAGTAGCCTCACTCAATCATCAAGCGACTTGCAATTATGAAAATTGGGTACTTCCTACATTTGTTTTGTCTTGATGGATCAGTGATGATGACATATATCTGTTTAACACTTCAACCTTTTAAATTACCAAACACTGCATATTCGAGTTTTAAGGCTTTATTTTTACTCTTATAGGCAAGTTCCGTAGTTAGGGGGGAAAAGCTAAGTCTAAAGTACCAAAAATATATTACTCTATATGTTTAGACCTTAAGAGTATATATTTGAATAGAAGAAATGATCCTAAAAGATCTCATCCGACTTCAAATCATCAGAACTTAAGTATTGACAAATGACAGCGACTTTTAAGCATACTATTTAAAATATATTTAAAGATTAGTCAATTTGCTCAAACTTCAAGTTTAAACTTTAAAGTTCAAATTTTAGGTACTAAAGTTCAAAAATTATGTCCAAAAATCAAATCTTATGTCTTGAATTTTAAATTAGTAACTAAAAAATTCAAGGTATTTAATCTTGAAGTTTGGTAAATTGATTAATATTGTGATATGAGGCTTAAAAGTGGCTACTAATACACTTCTCCAACCATTTCATTAACTTGGGTAAACATAAATACGAACACAAAAAATTAACAAGACAAATACAGCACATTTCCAAATATTAAGTACCAAAAGAAATCAAATAAGTAACATATAACAAAATGTTCATTCACCAGCATAGGAAATAAAAAGAAGAAGAAGCTACATTTGCCTATTAGCAGCTTCAGTAACAAAAGGCAAGTAAGGAGTTTTCCCAAGGATACAACTAACAAGCCCATAAACAAAACACCCCACAACAAATACAAAAAGCCCATTATGCATCATCATTGTAAGTTTCAGCCCAATTCCAGATTGACCCGGAGAGAATATCCGTTGTATCAACATCGGTACCACCAATAAAACGTCAAGTACAACCGCTTGAAGCGCATTGAAACGGGCGTAACGGTTTAGACTCTCATTCCGTACAATTCCCAAGTAGAGAGCGAAGAAGGTGACAAAGCTAGCGTATGGGATTGAACGGTAGAGTGAGAGAAGGGGAAGAATGGGCTGAAATGGGAGAGTTAGGGATGGGTATTGAGAGAATAAGAAACGGCCGTACTGAAGGCCGTTGAAGAAGGGGAGGAAGTAAGCTACGGCGGAGATTAAGCGGTCTGTGGCGGGGATTGGGTTGTAGGTGGCGGAGATGGAATTGAGCTTGGTTTGAGTTCGGGTTTGGGCCTGGGGTTGGAGGAATTTGGGGATGGTGGGTTTGAGGGGGTGGGGAGTGNTTGAGAGAATAAGAAACGGCCGTACTGAAGGCCGTTGAAGAAGGGGAGGAAGTAAGCTACGGCGGAGATTAAGCGGTCTGTGGCGGGGATTGGGTTGTAGGTGGCGGAGATGGAATTGAGCTTGGTTTGAGTTCGGGTTTGGGCCTGGGGTTGGAGGAATTTGGGGATGGTGGGTTTGAGGGGGTGGGGTGTGAGAGGGGTTTTGGGGGTTAGGGTTTTGGGAGGTGGATGGAGAGAGAAACGGAGGAGCGGGATGGAGGCCATTTTGGAAATTGAGAGGTTTTAGGGAGCTCCCGCTGGGTATTTAGATGGATTTTTCTTCTGGAAAGTACAAAATGGACAGCACAAGGTACTACACAATGCAGTATGTCAATATTTGGCCTAAACCTAAACAGAGACACATACTAACTATATATATAAAATATATAGACACTCAAAATTGGCACCAAATTTCAGTTCATGAGACACTGTTTTCTTAATAATTTGTTCGTTAGTATTGTTAAGGTATTTAACTAAAATTTGATGACCTAAGTGGTGGTTTGATATGACGGATAAACAAAAATAATCTTGGGACTAAAATTTGTACCGTTGTATTCTTTGTTTGATTACTAATTTTGGGATAAGTTATCCCTGGACTAAAACTAATACCATGATAACTTATACCTACCAGAGATTCAATAATAATTCAAGTATAAGTTATTCCAAGATAAAACAATAAAATTAACAATCCTAGGATTAATACAACACATCAGTAAGTCAATAAGAAATAATACCAGGATAACTAATCACAACATAACTAATTTCAGTATAACTTGTCTGTTGCGGAAGCCAAATGTATAGAGTGTGAATAAGTCACAACTACTATACCAAAAATTATGACAACCACCAAATAATAAATAAGACAATAAAGCAATAATAAAGGGAACACCAGAATTTACGAGGTTCGGCTAATTTTGCCTACTCCTCGGACACAACCAATATTTTATTCCACTCCAAAATACAAGTGAAATAATACTAAAGAGAGAAGATACAAATGCCTTAAACAGATGAGAAGGCAAATGAGAGGTGTGTTTCAATCCTAAACATTAGACCTTCTTTTATAGGGGAAAAATCCCTTCCAAACTTAACTCCCAACCAATGTGGGACTTTGGCATTTTGCCAAACTTCAACATTGTCTTCAAAACAAACGGCTCCTAAGTGTCCATCTACTTATTTCGCTTAAAAGAATTGATTTTTTAAAAATAAATCAATTAATGATAAAAAAAAATACTTGCTATTTTTCAATTAATTCAACTATGATTATAAATGGCTTGACAAAACAAATCCGAATTCGCCTACCTGTCAATATCTAGATTGCATATGTGAGGGAAGGCGTATAAAAATACAAAAACATTTACCAAATAGAAAAATAAATTCCGTTGCCGGGACTTGAACCCGGGTCTCTCGGGTGAGAGCCGAGTATCCTAACCACCTAGACTACAACGGATTTATACTGAGCTCTGTTCGGGAAAATATTTAGTTACATTTGTTATTGTTATCTTAAAAATCACAAAAGACTATATGAGAGAAGATTTATCTTATTTGTTGACGTGCATTTTCAAAGAAAAGATAGAAATTCCTCTAAAAGTTCAATTATTATTTGATTAATAGTTTATAAGTTGACAATCTCTAATAGTTTATTATACTAGTAGTAAATGACGATTAAAGTTGTTGTTGTACTTGTTACTGCAAGAAGAATAACTGGTCGCCATTCAACTCTAGTTTGTTCTTTAAGGGAAAAATAAAGGAATTATACAAAATTCTCAGCAATTTAATGTTGTATAACAGAGCAGCACCATTTTAGTTTTTTCAAAGATCTATATGTACTCAGCTAGTTGTACTTATATTCTCCTCTCCTCCCTTTCAACAGAATTATCATAATTGCTTTCTCCACTATTCTTTTCTATCAAAAGAATAAGGTCCCATTTGTATCGAGAATATGTTTCAAGTTTTGAAGTTGTGTTTGTTTGACAATCTTTGCAACAAGAAAAAGAAAAAAAGAAAAATCAAAACTTTTAAAAAGTTCACAGCATTCTGGCGAAGAATTTGTCAGATAACATCGTATGCAGAACCAGCATTATGTAACTTTAAAATCTACAATTTAATTTAATCACAGCAATCTACTATACTCCTGAAACATTAGGGTGATAATATACAAAATTGAAGCCAAGTCTAGCTTACACTATATTGCCATAATGTAGGTCAATAATATGAAAGAAGATAATATATATCGGCATATCTCAATATATTTTCCATTTTCACTTCCTATATCGCTTGCCTTTATGATGAGGCAACTCTTCTGAAAAGCCAAAGCCACATTCTTTGAGTAGAAAAACATTCGAAAGACAATAAGTGGACATGGTGGAAGATCGACTATGATCTCTAGAAATCATTTGCCCGCCTCCTTAGTTCATTCAATTCTTTCTCAATCTCTGAATCTTGAAATTGCAATGTTGAACTTGAACTGGCAACTGTCGTTCTCCGCGGTGGAAGCTCCCCTTTCTGCTAGTCGATAAAAGGAAAAATTAATACTGGAGATTTTGAAGGAAATACCACATCAACAAGCAAGCAGATCGTGTTTTGTACATAATTTTTGTATACCTTGACTATCAAGTAACAAGAAAGCAGATTATACGTCCTCACATACTACGTCACCCCATATGCTCTAGTTTTGTCTCTTTCTCGGTAAAAAGAGACACACAAATTCTTCTTGCTCCAGCCATCAGATAGATAACATGTGGACTTAGATATTGTGATGCAATGTACAATCCCAAAGAAAGGGCAGCCCGACGCACTAAGCTCCTGCTATGTGCAGGGTCCGGGGAAGGACCGTACCACAAGGGTCTATCGTACGCAGTCTTACCCTGCATTTATGCAAGAGGCTTTTTCCACGGCTCGAACCCATGACCTCCTGGTCACATAGCAGCAACTTTACCAATTACGCCAACCCCAAAAGTATCTCTAATGTGCATCATTTTACTGAGTTTTGGATTTTGTTGGTTCCTTGGATTTTATATAGGAAGCATTTTGTTTATACCTACTCTGCATCCACTGAATGCCTATTAAAAAGAAGCTATACTACCTGATTGAAAAAAGGCTCAAACCATCCTTATAACTCTGGTCCACATTCACGAAAATCTTCTTTTATCCCTGAACCCTACTTCCTATGCTTGGTACGGTTTAGCTGAACAGGGGCAGAGCCAGAGTACCGGCTGCAGGTTCCGCTAAACCCAGTAACCTTGGTTTAAATTTTGTATTTATCTTAACAAATTCATTGAATATGTACAATTTATTAATGTAGAACCCAATAGCGTAAAATGATTAAAATCTCGAACCCACGAGCTTGAAATCCAAGCTCCACCTCTGGTTTAGCATACTTAACCAAGCATACCGTAATCTAGACGGAAGACGTTAGCCTGTCCTCCAGGTGCCCATACTTCCACAAATTCGTGCTGTCAACAAAGAAAGAAGACACATCCCAAACATTCATTTCCATATACGGGGAGATTAAGTAGAAAATACCTTTGAGCTGCCACTCAATTCTTTTTTTAAGCTGGCAAGATCATCATCAACGGAAGAGGTCTCCAGCATTGCAAACTGTCAGTAGCAGAATGATGGTTAGGATAATAAATTATATAATCCTCCAAAGGAGCGCTAACTTCTCCAATTAAGGCTTTGCATAATCAAAACTAAAACTTTGAGTTTGCAGCACAAGCATGTTACTCTTTTTGGCATTTCGTGGTCGTAAGAAATTAGTACCAAAAAGAAGCATATTTTTCACGAAATAGCTGTGCTACAAAAGAGGTGAAAACGCAAACTAAGGCCATTAACATTAGGATCACGTTTAGATATTACAATACCTTTCCTTCAAGCTCATCACTGGTTAATTGGTTAAGAGCATCAGCTTGAGACTCCATCGTCAAAACTATAGAAAATAAAGAAAAAGTTAGTCAATCATTTAAGCACTCCCACATATAATTTATAACATGACGAGCAGAAGTGACTCCAGTTTCATCTAAATTATATCCAGGATAAACGATTCTTATTCTCAATACCCAGTAGCAGATGATTTCAACATGCCACAATCACAGTAAGTGGAAATATCACCTTATTACCCAGCAAAACTGATACAACGACAATAACATTTGAGATAGTCCAATTCTAATTTTTATGCTTTCGGCACATACACTGAAAATGGTCAAAATGAAGATGCCGAGCTGTATAAATTGGCTAAGACAACCTTGTATGAATCTCTTTTAAAGACATCATAACATATAATACACATCTTGTCTGTCAAACATTAGATGCCAAGGAGAGAATGTAAAAAGATACAAATCGTTTGAATCAGCGACTTGACAGTTTTACTGAAGGTTATATTTTTCTAATCAAAAGTAAAATTTAGACGAAAGTGCTCCAGAACAGTTCAAACAACCATAACAAAGTATTTCTTTACAAAAATGCTGCAGATCGGTGATTCTTCGCGGTTAACCTAACAATGTTAGCAGCAAATAGGTTTAGAGGCTTTAAGGTACCCGATATTCCAGTTGGTAGTATCATGATTTGCAAAAGCCTGTATTCAGTGAATAACTTCTCAGACAAAACACATACGAGACCCTTCATTTTGATTGACATACAAATAAAGTACTTGAGACGCTAAGGAGAAAACTAAAGGTCATCTTTAAGAGGCTTATATGATCAACGCTCAGTCTCATTGTTTTGTATTAGGGCAGGCAGAAAGTCAATAGAGCTATTATTATAGGACAAGAAATATATAAAGTAAAACCAAAGGAAGCATCTGACATTGGAAACAAAAGAAGAAAGGAGGGAAAGATAGGGCGGGAAAAGTGTAGTCAGAACCTTTTTCTTCCATTCTTTCAAAGGCTGAAAGGGCACTGCTTGTATTTACATTTCCCAGCATCTCGCTTACTTTGGTTGCGGTCCTAAATGACAAACCTCACAGTCATTTTCTTCAAAAGAAATAAATTATAGAAGTGCGACATTTTTATGAGCCATGCATATTTCTTATGAAGTAAAAATTTTATTGATGAGTTGGGGAGATACCCCATATGCAAGAGGTATACGCAAAATGTGAGCATGGATGCTATAATTCAAGATAAACATGAAATAATGAAAAGGCGAGAACTGACTTTGCTGACTGAGCACGTGCTTTCAGAGTATCCTTCTTCGATTTTGCTTCCTGGATCTTGCTCTCCAAAAGCTGTCAGATGAGAGATTATAACAGTCAAAGACAAAGCTCCGGTTCATTTTTAACAAATAGAGTTAGACCACCAATCAAAGAAAAACAGAGCTAGACCAGATTGGTAATTGTTGCTATATGAAACCTATAAACTATTTCCCAAACAATAAGGAGATTAACAACAAAACTTTTTTATTAACTGGAAAACATGCAAATATACACACAAATGATGAGTAATTGATGCATCAATATCTAGCTTAGCATTTTGATAAAAAAAGTAAAACTTTAGAATAACAAGCTCTCCAGATAAAAGAAAAGTTTAGGAACATACCCGTGTATTGCTGACCAGATTTTCAACCACACCCTTTTGCTGATCAAGTTGAGCCTTCAAGGCACTTGCATTATCCTGCACAATTTAAACTTGAGTTGATACAAACTCGAGACTTGATAGCTATGATGTTCATGTCACTTCATTATCCTCTCAAACAGACACCCCGTAAGCCAATCAAGAAAATGATGGCGCGTGGCGTTCTTGCACAAAGCTCTGCAAGTTCACTAGACACCCCACCCCTGCCTCTTTTTCCATTATTCAAATCTTCCTTTCTTTCTTTTTCTTTTATTCTTGGAAACAGGAAACTTAATGCTAAAATATACTAGTTGTTTATTAGGTCATCCGCTTTGACATCTCAAGCTCAAAAGAGTATCTAATAAGATAGAGAAAAGAAAATGACCCCATAAGACTCCTGAATGTTTGGAGTTTAAACCAGCTTCCATGTTGCATAACTAGATAAGAAAGTCATGGATGCCAATCATAATTAAATTATATAGTTGCTTAATTATCAAAAAGATCAAAATTGAGTTGTATCAATCTCCACTCAGATTCCACTAGAAGTTAACCTATACATTAGACATAAAATCTATGATATCTCGTGTTTGTGTTGGTATTGCAATTATACAATGGAAAACCATGACACGAACCAACATTACATCAATCAATAATCCTTGATTTCTGTTAAGAGTGAAATCATAATCTCATTGTTGTTGAAACCATAACTCCGAGGGTCAGGGGCGAAGCTATGTTGGCCCAAGGGTGGTCAACTGACCACCCTTCGCCGAAAAATTATACTATGTATAAGGTAAAATATTACTTGTTATTGATTAAAAATAGACTTTGAACACCCTTGCATAGTCCACTGGCCCTTATTGAATTTCCTGGTTTCGCCGCTGCCGAGGGTGAAAATAATAATGTCAAAGAGTAAACACACAAATGTGGTTATAGTTTTGAGGTTACTATTAAAGATATAATTCCATTGTTGCTGCACTTTTTTTTTTCCGTCATAAATATGCTGACGGATCTTCTGTTATATGTGATGTTTAAAAGGGAAAAAACGGACATGCAGGATATTTCAGCGCTAGAGTAGTCCGCCAAATCTAGCAAATAGATGTGCTATTACATCACAGAGACCAACCCTTTTGAGCAATTGTAGTCCCACCTGAGGCTAGTTAGCTCGAGTTGTCTATCCTAATTCTTGCCGCTTGATCCTATGGTAGAAAAACTTCCAACTTCTTGATGCACTTCTATTATATTTTCTAATTCCTTCACTTTCAGTAAGAATTATCTTTTGAAAATTTTAGGTAGGAATATAATCATGATACACAGGCAGATTCAAGTAGTATTAACATTCTTTCTGCTTAATTAGGAAATGTTCAAGTGGAAAGCTCTTAGATGAGATCTAAGGGATAAAAAGAAAGTCCTTCACTCAGACTTTCATCAGTAATTATATAAGCTATGTCGCACAAGAATCTCACTCATCAAACCAAATCCCTCGGTCTACTCTTGCTCTATTCTTATATGAGATTGAGGGCAACTAGATATAAAAGTAGCAACAAAACTAAAAATTAAAGGAAAGGCCACAGCACAAATTCCAATAACCTGATAGATAAGATAACTTCCAACTCCATATCAAACACTGCATAATAAATGAACTTTTCGAATTTTCCAACAGAAAATGGCCTTACAGCATAAGCTTTTCTTCTTTTAAGAGCTTCACGAGCAAGGTCTTCATCCCCTTTTCCAAGAGCAAGTTGGGCTCTACGATACCTATGATTGAAGCAAAATTAAACCTTAGCTATTACAAACAGAACCCGTTAAGGTTCTCTAGCTCTTACCAATCTTCAGAAGCTTGTTGTGCAGCTTTATACTTGTTTTCCAACTGCTTTTGTGAAGCCAATACCTTCAGAAAAAAGAAAAACATTGAGCTTTTTCACTTCCTCAACTATGGAATCTCAATCGCAATAGGCAACAGAGTTCTAAAAAAAAAAGACATAAAAAGGCACTCACTAAGAGCATACCTGTGCTGTAGCTTGTCGCATCTTTATCAAATCGTTATTCATTTCGAGCACAGTTTGTTCCAAGATCTTCTCTGGATCTTCAAAGGTGCTTATAAGTGCATTTGCATATGACTATACAACACAAAAGAAAAAATAATCTGAGTTGAGAACAAGTGATAGGAGAGGAGATGTGACTAACAAATGACAAACATCATGGACCAAATAACCTTCACAACTCTAGCAAACCGATCAAATAGATTCATACGAGCTCCAAGGGCACCACCACCATGACTGTNGGAGACACCAATTAGTCCTCCGACATAAGCAGCAGCATATTATGCTTTTCTAACCAAAAAAGGCATACCTTGATCTATGACCTGAACATGTTGAAAATGAAAACTTGCACTTTGTTATATACCTAAGTAGTGTACGATAAAAACCTTATACATCTAATCCTTCCCATTTATGTATAATTGGTAATATATATAATTTTAAATGTCCACCCTCTATATTCACAAAGCTTTGATAGTACTTGCTACGCCAACTAGCCGTTTTATTTATAAAGGGCACATAGCTTTGACATGGTTCAAATTGAGCCAACCCTTACATAGAATAAGTATAACGTTTTTCATCAATCAGCTAAAAGGCTGGACAAAGCTTAACCAGCACAAGCAAGTAGGCGTCTGAGGTAAGACAAAATTTGAAGAAGGAAATTGACCAACACATTAATTACTCATCAGCAATGATGAGATCATGTTAAAACAATCGCACATCAACTACAAATCAATTTTCTTCTATTTTACACAAGAAACAGGGAGCTACATGTACATACGAATAATAGCCCAAGTTTCTTACACATAAGCTCAGCCTCAGATTATGATAGCATAAGCAAAAACACGCATAGAAGGGACTACAGCACTAGCTGTTGTGGCAGCCTCAAGGAATGCCAAAAGCGCAAAAACAATTAGGCAACTTATGAGATAGCACGTTGAAGGTGACAATGCTGACATCCGCAAGGAGTGACACAAGTATAAAGTCATCTATACTATATTACAAGTGGTTGGGGAGTTCTCTCCAAACTACTAGGTCAAGGGTTCAAGGTTGGTAACCAATCTCAAAAAAGGTCATCGATAGGACTTAATGAGAATGCTTGACAATGACCTATACTATATTAAAAGTACGAAGCCTCTTAGCAAAATGACGTTCGTCTTTTTTACTTTTTAAAGATAGCTTTCACCTCAAACCTGTACACTTGATAATTTAACCATGCCCTACGTAGACCTCCAAATGTACCCGCCTTTAAGTCTGACGCGATGACGATTGAAAGTGCTAAAAAGGACAAGGTAGACCTAAAATATCGAGAGAGAAATTTTATCTCAGAAGACTTTTACTCCAAACTGAATAAATGCAAATGTATCTAAGAACAAAACACTACGGAAGCACAATCCATATATGCAATATCAACTAGCAAGGTTTAAATGTTAGTTGTTGTTACACTTACACTCTAGGTCTAATTGGTCTGGATAGAGACTTTTATGTCCATATAGGAATTGGTTAGAAAACCTCTAGTTATAAAGAATCATTGACTTAGAAAGACAAAATATTTGGTGTTGCAATGAACTGGACCAGAGCAAAGTGGAATGGAATATAAAGGGATCTCTTGTTAAACCTCGCTTGAGGCACGCTTAAGCCTGAAGCTCAAGTTGTGCACTTCATCTCACTTATACGGGTATATCAAAGGAACATAAGAGTTGGAACATCATTTTCTTCCTTTTTTTATTACCTTTCGGTAAGTTCAACACATTTACATCACAAATCCGTTCTACACTATCAATTGCGATGTCTTAATTAACCTGAGTTTCCTTTCTACATACAAATCCAAACACCCCAAACAGCAGTACAATAACTTTAAAAAGCACCTAAAGGTCCTATGTCTATATCTACAGTTTTACATCGTCCTACTCAAAGATGAAAAATGCATCCACGCACATTCAAAATACAAACTTTAATGCTGATAAATTCCAATGCACTATCCATTTTGGTGATGCATGAATACTCAATCACAAAGCATTTTAAAACAGGACAAAATAGAAGTACTTCATCAACCAGTTTCTAATAGTCTACAACTTATTAAGAGAATTGGTTCACAAATTCTAATTAAATCAGACATAGAAGAAGTAAAGATATAAAATAAAACAAAAAGCTGCATCTTTACATTAAGTGAATTGATAGCTATGTTGCGCGGACTCTCCAAACTGTAGCCGCACCCGTGTCGGATCCTTCAAAAATGCTCTACTTTTGGAGGATCTGACACGTATCCGGCCACATTTTCAGAGAGTCCGAGCAACATAGATTGATAGATGCCACAGTTTGACATTACTTACAACAACAAAAAACCCAGTGCAATCCCACAAGTAGGGTCTAGGAAAGGTAGTGTGTACGCAGACCTTACCCCTAGTTGTTTCTGGAAGACCCTCGGTTCAGGATAGCTAAAAGGGAGGGGTAACAACAAGCAAACCAATCGAAAAACCGAAGCGAAAATATAGAACTAACACTAAGTAATGCAATCAGGAAACCGAAACGAAAGCAACAACAAGTAATAACAGAAGTCTAGGGATACGAAAATACACGATTGACATTAAGTAATGTACTAAAGCTACTGCTACAAACAAGGACATTGCTTGGCTACCTAACCTTTTACCTTTATTCTCAACCTCCACACCTTCTAAAAATTGGTAAAACTACAGTAACCAAAAGTATAAAAACTGAAAAGGGTCTGTATAATATTGAAAGAAGAACCAAGAATGCAACACCCACTAAAGAATTGAACATAAAGTTCTGATCTTTTAAGATTTAATCCCACACTTATATACCGTTTTCAGCATCAATAGAGAAAATTAAACAAACCCCACTAAGCAATTAAACATAAAGTTCTGAGTTTTTCAAGATAATCCCACACTTAGATAATTTGAGCATTAATAGAGCAAATTAAAGAAATCCCAGTAAACAATTGAACATAAAGTTCTGATCTTTTCAAGATAGAATCCCACACTCAGATAATTTAAGCAACAATAGAGCAAATTAAAGAAAACCCAGTATAGCAAATTTCACAAAAAGCACGAAAGTTTACCTCCTTGACCAAAGAAAGAAGCTCTGAAAGGCAGTGATTTTACAACAATAACCCTATTATAAGAGGAAATAGAGGGTGCTGAAGCCATGCTTATCCCTGTTATGGGTGTTCTTACTGCCATTTCTTTAGAGCCAAAAGGGTACTACCAAAATTGCAACTCTTTTGTATGTACAAACAAAGCAAAAGAAAATCAATTACTTGAGAGTATATTTTCTCTAATATTTGTAATTTTCAACACTCTCTTAATTCTTTTTCTCTATTTTCTTGTTTGTGGCTGCTGATAAAAGGTGCGCAAACGCCCAGACTTCTCCTCAGTGTTTCTCCTTCGTTTGGATATTTTTCCTTTTCTATTTTCTTTTTTTTCCCATACCTTTTGTTTTTTTTTGGTTTATTTATTTTTTCCATCTAAGCATCAAAACGCCGTCGTCTATGGTATGGGAGTGTTCTGTAAACATGAGTAACTTATATCCGAGATAGGATGATTTATTGGTCAAAATAACGGTATAGCCAGTTTTCGGACTGGTCAATCAAAAATAATCACCGTTTACGAAGTCAATGAAAAATAGCCACTATTTTGCTGCAATAGAGACCGGTTCCGTATAATATACGGGAGTTCGGTGCATCTGTGTACGAACTCCAGCATATTATGCTGGACCGGTATACTTTGTTGACTCTTGTATAATATACGGGAGACTGGAGCACCGGTACTCCAAACTCCAGTATATTATACTGGACATTTATACTTGCTGGAACTCCCGTATATTATGTTGGAGTTCTAGTGTACTTATGCCGGAGTTCCAGCATAGTTATCCTGGAACTCCCGTATAATATGCTGGAGTTCAAGCATACTTATGCTGGAACTCCAGTATAATATACAGGTGTATTTTCCGGGTTTTGAACAGTGTTTTCGCTCAGATTTATCTTTACATGAAAAGTGACTAAATTTCGATTACTTTTGAAACTATGGCTATTTTTGAATGACCAGTTGTAAATTTGGCTATTTTTAAATTTCTCCCTAATTTGTTGATTTCATGACACATTAAAAATTCAAATTTTGAAACTAGAGAATTTATCCATAAAAAAGTGTTTTAATTCTCTTGATATGTCTATCCGACGTGAATTTAAATTAATCGAGTCAGATGATTTTGAATACGGCTACTCAAAAAATGTGCAAATTGAGCTTCTTTTTTCTTAAGTATTAAGAATAAAAGGGTTTGATGGGAAGAAAGGGCATCACCGATTAAAGAATGGAACCTTTGCTTTTTGGACAAGATAAGCTGAACACAATTTTGAACAAAAAAGTTAAATCTAAAGAATCTGTATTATAATTGTTGTGCAAGAAAATAACAAATTTAAAGTACAAATTATGAAAAACAACAGATATAGGTTTGTGCTAACACTTCACTTCTACTTCTTTTTTAACTTTTTTTGTTTAAATTGTACAAAAAAAATCTCATGAACTTAGTTGTGATATTTGGAAGGGGAAAAAAGAAAATAAAATAGGGCAAAGAACACTTTTAGCCCGGTGTCAAACTATTTATAGCCACAAAATTATATAAAATTATATTTGTTGTATATAACATACAATAATATATATAAATTTTGGGCTATTATTTTGACGGCAACTATACAGTGTCATTTAAGCGAGAAAATTAGTAGTTAGTATTGTGACAACGAAATGGTCCTTCTTACTTTCTGGGCCGAAAAATGACACAATTTATGTACGGAAATTTTCATAAAGCACTATCTTTTAGTAGTAATTAGCCATTTATAGATATCATTTGCTATATTACGGATTAAAGATACCTTTTATGTGGTTATAAGTTGTATTTGATGTATTTAAGCTATTGTATTCATGAATACAATAGTAAAAATAGGCGTGAATCAGGGAAGTCCAACTAATCAGATGTTGTATTCGAGTGTATTCGACTGTATTCATGAAGGGAAACATGGGATTACAGCTGGACAGATTATTGTATTCGACTGTATTCACGGCGTGAAATAGGGGATTACACTGTTTTTAAAACGGAAAGTGAATCAATTAACATAATAGACTCCTAATATAACTCAACAAACTCAATTATAACACGCAAAATTTGTATTTTCAGTTATAAAAAAGATTTTCAACCGAAAAATGCCCAAAAACATAGCAATCTTCAGAGAAATTATATAATACATCTGAATACATAAGTTATATTAATAAAAAAAAAACTTATGAATACATTCATGGCATATAGCGAGACAGTGAATACGATGAAATACATAGAATACAACGGGATACATTGAAATACAATGAAAAAAAGACAGAGAATACAATAAAATACATGGAATACAGCGAGATATATTGAATTACAATGAATACAATGAAATACATGAAAATACAGCGTAATATGTTGAAATTACATTGAAATATATTAAAAGAAATGTTCTTCTTCATCGCAAAAGATAAAGTTGTGGCGTGGATGACACGTGGAATTGCTCTGGATTGATGAAGTTGATTTGATTCTGTCGAAAAGAACTCCAAATTTCCAAATAGAAGAAGCTCGAAATCAACACATTTGGTACCAATACATCCCCTATTGCCACAAGCAGTGGCGTCGATAGTACCAACAGCGACGCTAACATCGCCACCATGAAATATACAATTTTCAAACATCTCTTCCCCTTCTCCAACATTCCTTTCCCTCCTGAGGCCATTATCGTAATTCCAATTAGTCGGTCTTTTGTCTTCCTTAATTGTGCCGAGTTGTCTTTTGCTAAACGATATAGGGAAATTATCATACTTTGCACAAATTCGATGGAAGGAGGAGGAGATCGAAAATTTTAATGGGATGGGGGAAGAGAATGAGATATATCAAAGTAGAGAGAGAAAGAAAATAGTGTAACTGATTAGCGTATTTAGTGGCTTAGGGCTAGGAGGTAACCAAAATTAAATATTTTGCTATAAACCTTAAAAGGTATCTATAGAATATCATTTTTTTAAATGGTATTTATTTTTTTAAAAATTTTAAATTGCATTTATATTCATTCCAGAAAAAAATACATTACATTTCAGTAGATGCTGACCATCTACACACCTTCTTCCACAAGTTCTAGCCTAAGTATTCCTTCTTAAGCTACAAAGCAATCCCAATACTAGTTAAGGATATCACAGAACAATACAATACTAGCATTCCTAAGGGTAACAATTAATCTTCTTAAGAGCTTCTTTCCAATTCCGTATCGAATCCCCTTTCACGTGTATGCGGATTGCTATTTCTTTGCAAATGTTGTTGACTATCACTGTGCCTCCCTAGAATCTTAGCTTGTTCCTTTCTCTCCATATAATATAGACCATCATACTAAAGACACAAGTGACTATCACACAATGCCCATTCCTCATTTTAGCACCTTTGTTTATCCAGCTGACCTCACTCTGCCAGTCACAAATAGGTCTATCATACCCCAGCCATAGTAACAACCTCAACCATAATTCATTTGTCAACGAGCATTTAAAAAAGAGGTGATCAAAAGTCTCATCAGTCTGCTTGCAAAAAACACACTATTGTGGAGCTTGTATACCAAACTTCAGCAGCCTCTCAACTGTTGCCAATCTTCTATGTAAAGCAAGCCACATAATGAACTTGAATCTTGGATGCATGTGTGGCTGCAGAATAATGCTTTTCCAATGGACCTTCTAGAGTTGAGGAAATTGAAGCCTGTCTAGTTTCTTGATGCTAAACAAATCTCCCCTGTGCAATTGGTTCAATCTAGCTTCAAGGTCCCCTGAATGCCTTGGAGTTCACTGATCATTCTCCGTGTCTCAAAGATTTTCCTAACCACCCATGCTGCATTCCTAGGTATAGGCATACTTTCTAGCACATAGTTCTTTATGTAGTAGATATGCATCCATTTTTGTAATAATCCGATATTTTTTACTTATTAATTGTGAGACTAGAAACTTAATTTTTATTATAGCTATTGGAATAAATATAAGTTAGTGGGAGATAATTTATTAAAATAAATATAATAGAATATAGTAATAACTTTGCTAGTTGGCCAGTTCACATTATATGTGGCAGTGGGATACTCATGGGCTTTAGTTAATAAAAGTAAGGTAATGCTGTATTCTGGCCCGGGCCTTAGTGGGCCTAACAGGCCGGGCCTCGCGGTCCCGGGCTTCGTGGTCCTGGGCTCTGGCGGTCCCGGTCTTCGTGGGC